TCATTACAGTTCCTCCCTCTTTAGCTTAATACATCTCTCTGGGCTACTAATTACTGCTGTTGTAGAGTGCCATTGTAAAACAATAGTGGCAAGTAATTCTGATCTTTCATAAGCAGCTGCAATACCTTTTAAGAAAAGCCATCATTGCCAATGGATGGAAAATAAATTGGACACCAAAAGAACATATAAAATCATCCTTTAGATTGTAAGCTCCACAAGCAGGGCCCTCCTATTCCTTCTGTACTGAAATGTATTGTAATTGGACTGTCTCCCTTATATTGTAAAGTGCTGCGCAAACTGTTGGCGCTATAGAAATCCTGTATAATAATAATCTGTTTAATAAAAGTCATGAAATATGTTATCTCATTTTATATTACTATGTTATCTATATTTATATGCGTTTAAAAGCACTTTTAGCATAGAATATCTCTCATGAGGAGGCATGGAATGGTATAAGAAAGTCTAATTTATTAAACTATTACAATGTTCTGGTGAAATAATAATAACATTGCAGCCTACCAGTTATTAGATGTGGTCGCTGTATTTGTTTTCTTTTTTAAGGCTTTCCCCCCTCTTTTTTCACCTAAAGATTTGGCCAGTAAAACACCTCCCATATTACAATGCCCCTCTTTTGATGAAGGAGCACAGGGGCACCTTTGGACAGCAGCAATCTACACTCCAGCTAACACTTTATAAGTACTTCCAGCAGTTTTGTTTCCTTTTGGGATAAAGGTTTTACATAAATAAATTAAAGCTGATCATTGCAAGCACCCCTGTCAGTGTTAAATGGTTTGTCTCATCCCTTTAACTGAAACATCTGGAAGAAAGCTTGTTCTTTCAAAAAACAACAGACTTACTGGCTGGATCACCAGGTAAAAATAAAAGAAAGAAAGCCTAACAAATAAAACAAATGCAGCCATCACATCTAAGAACTGGTAAGCTGCAATGTAATGAATGTTTGCTTTTTGGTTCAATACTGCTTTAATATGATTTCAATTGTCATTTCTAATATTTTTAAATTTGCATCTTTCCTTAAGGCTTAATTCTGGCACAATTCACAAAAATTATAATTCAAATATTTTCTTTATTGGCACAAAAGATAACATAAAAATCTGTTTTTGGTAAACCAAATGCCTACGCAAACCAAGATTTTACTGTGTAAACATATGATATCATTACTGTGTTTAACAGAGAGCAGAACTGTGGGTTGGACCAGCATTCCCACCAGCTACAGGTTGCCTGCTGAAAACTACAGGAGGGCAGTGGATACAAGACCAGTTAGAGAGACAAGCAGGGGACTGGTCCAAATCAACATGTTACACCCCATAGTTGCCAACATTTGAAAAAGGTTTTGGGACACCTTTTTTTCTGTGTGGAAGGAAAGCCTCTGTAGGCGGGGCATTACTTTAATTAGGGGTGTGGCATTCATATGTTATGGATGTGGTTATAGCAGTGGCAAAAGTGGGTATGGTTTAAAATATAGTAAATATTGGGTGTGACTTAAAGGGGGTGTGGTTAAATAGAGTTTGAGATGACTTACATAGTGCAGAATGTGGTATTGTTAAATATGGAATGTACAGTGCAGAACAAGGGAGGATGATGATGACTATGTATGTGTGCAGGATGGGCGTGGCTCAATGGAGATGTGTGTGTGTGTGCAGGATGGAGATGAGACTCGACAGAGGTCTGTGTAGGATGGAGATGACTGGATGGAGGTGTGTGCAAGATGGAGATGACTGGATAGAGGTGTGAGTAGGATGGAGATGACTGGATAGAGGTGTGTGTAGGATGGAGCTAACTGGATGGAGGTGTGTGTGTAGGATGGAGATGACTGACAGCCATCCCCAGGCGCAGATAGGGACCCCTAATGGCTTTGTGGGTGTGTGTAGGATGGAGTTGACAAGATGGAGATGACTGTGTGTGTGTATGATAGAGATGACTGGATGGAGGTGACTGTGTGTGTGTGCAGTATGGAGATGACTGGATGGAGGTGTGTGTAGGATGGAGATGACTGGATGGACTCCATCCAGTCATCTCCATTCTACACACTCCTCCATCCAGTCATCCCCATCCTACACCTACCTCCATCCAGTCATCTCCATCCTACACACATCTCCATCCAGTCATCTCCATACTGCACACACACACAGTCACCTCCATCCAGTCATCTCTACCCTACTCACACAGTCATCTCCATCTTGTCAACTCCATCCTACACAGACCCAGAAAGCCATTTGGGGTCCCTATCTGCTGGGGATGGCTGTCAGTCATCTCCATCCTACACACGCCTCCATCCATTCATCTCCATCCTACACTTACCTCCATCCAGTCATCTCCATCTACACACACCTCCATCCATTCATCTCCATCCTACACACACCTCCATGCAGTCATCTCCATCATACCCACACCTCCATCCCGTCATCCCCATTATATCATAGAGGTGTGTGCAGGATGGAGATGACTGGATGGAGGTGTGTGCAGGATGGAGATGTGTGTAGGATGGAGATGACTGGATAGAGGTGTGTATAGGAAGGAGATGACTGGATTGAGGTGTGTGCAGGATGGAGATGACTAGATGGAGGTGTGTATAGGATAGAGATGACTGCATGGAGGTGTATGTAGGATGGAGATGACTGACAGCTATCCCTACCAGATAGAGCCCCAGAATGGCTGCTTCTCACTTGCCCCTTCGAAAAAACACAGAAAGAGACCCTTAGCCATCATGATCCTCCCCCCTCCCCCCCTTAGATATGGAGATGCAAAGAGAGCAAAACTGCAGCACTAACATACCACCTTCAGGGCTCCCAGGTATGACCAGAGGTGTGTGACTGAAGCAGGGAAACGCAGACCTCAGATATGTTATAAACAATATAATTTATTAACACTAACAGTACAAACATAAACGCAGTGCAATACTAAAACATAATACAGTGCAACCAAACCAAACCAACCACCCACAGATAACAGTACATACAAGCAAGCGTCGTCAGGCAGGCCGGGTCAATATCAATAGGGCCGGTAGGTACAGGGGGAGCAAGCGGAGAATGGTCGGGGTCACAGGCCAGGTTCAGCAGGTAGCAAGCAGCATAGTACAGAGGGTCAGGCAGAGGGATGGTCCGGGTCACAAGCCAGGGATCAGAACAGGTAGCAAGCAGCGTAGTACAGAGGGTCAGACAGAGGGATGGTCAGGGTCACAAGCCAGGATCAGAGCAGGAGAAGTCAGCAAAGGAACAGAAACAGGATGCAGGACAGATACAGGGCCCAGGACAAACACAACACCAAGGCAGAGTCTGCAAGTCTGGCCATCCCTTAAATACACCAGTATCATCAGTTCCAGGTGTTAGCTGGCTGAAAGGTTGAGTCTCTGATTGCTGGGAGCACCCGCTGGCCAGCCCTGGTACTGCAGATCAAAAGGCAGGTGAGTCCCACCATTGCTGGCCAGTCCATTCCTAACAGTACCCCCCCCCCAAGGAGCGGCCTCAGGACGCTCCAAACAGTCCTAGCTGGGCAAAATGTCCCACCGCCCGGGTCTGGCAACTGGCGGGATATCAAAGACTGGCACACCGGGCAGAACTCCGGGCAGCGGCACAGCGGGCTGGACTCCGGGCAGCGGCACATCGAGCAGAGGCACACCGGGCAGAGGCACATCGGGCAGGACTCCGGGCAGAGGCACATCGGGCAGAGGCACATCGGGCAGGACTCCGGGCAGAGGCACATCGGGCAGGACTCCGGGCAGAGGCACACCGGGCAGAGGCACATCAGGCAGGACTCCGGGCAGAGGCACATCGGGCAGGACTCCGGGCAGAGGCACATCGGGCAGGATTCCGGGCAGAGGCACATCGGGCAGGATTCCGGGCAGAGGCACATCGGGCAGGATTCCGGCAGAGGCACATCGGGCAGGATTCCGGGCAGAGGCACATCGGGCAGGATTCCGGGCAGAGGCACATCGGGCAGGACTCCGGGCAGAGGCACATCGGATTACCAGGCGAAGCGGCAGGCAGCGGGCCACCAGGCGGAGCGGCAGGCACCGGGCCCCCGGGCGGGGCGGCAGGCACCGGGCCCCCGGGCGGGGCGACAGGCACCGGGCCCCCGGGCGGGGCGGCAGGCACCGGGCCCCCGGGCGGAGCGACAGGCACCGGGCCCCCGGCGGAGCGGCAGGCACCGGGCCCCCGGGCGGAGCGACAGGCACCGGGCCCCCGGGCGGGGCGGCAGGCACCGGGCCCCCGGCGGGGCGGCAGGCACCGGGCCCCCGGCGGGGCGGCAGGCACCGGGCCCCCGGGCGGAGCGGCAGGCACCGGGCCCCCGGGCGGAGCGGCAGGCACCGGGCCCCCGGGCGGGGCGGCAGGCACCGGGCCCCCGGGCGGGGCGACAGGCACCGGGCCCCCAGGCGGGGCGACAGGCACCGGGCCCCCAGGCGGGGCGACAGGCACCGGGCCCCCAGGCGGGGCGACAGGCACCGGGCCCCCAGGCGGGGCGACAGGCACCGGGCCCCCAGGAGGGGCGACAGGCATCGTGCCCCCAGGCGGGGCGACAGGCATCGTGCCCCCAGGCGGAGCGGCGGGCGCCGGACCCCCAGGCGGAGCGACAGGTCTCGGGCCCTCAGGCGGAGCGGCGGGCGCCGGACCTCCAGATGGAGCGACAGGTCTCGGGCCCTCAGGCGGAGCGGCGGGCGCCGGACCCCCAGGTGGAGCGACAGGTCTCGGGCCCTCAGGCGGAGCGGCGGGCGCCGGACCCCCAGGTGGAGCGACAGGTCTCGGGCCCTCAGGCGGAGCGGCAGGCGCCAGACCCCCAGGCGGAGCGACAGGTCTCGGGCCCTCAGGCGGAGTGGCGGGCGCCGGACCCCCAGGAGGAGCGACAGGTCTCGGGCCCTCAGGCGGAGCGGCGGGCGCCGGACCCCCAGATGGAGCGACAGGTCTCGGGCCCTCAGGCGGAGCGGCGGGCGCCGGACCCCCAGGTGGAGCGACAGGTCTCGGGCCCTCAGGCGGAGCGGCGGGCGCCGGACCCCCAGGAGGAGCGACAGGTCTCGGGCCCTCAAGCGGAGTGGCAGGTGCCGGACCCCCCAGGCGGAGCGACAGGTCTCGGGCCCTCAGGCGGAGGAGCGACAGGTCTCAGGCCCCCAGGCGGGGCGGCGGGCGCCGGATCCCCAGGCGGAGCGGCGGGCGCTGGACCCCCAGGCGGAGCAACAGGTCTCGGGCCCCCAGGCGGAGCGGCGGGCACCGAGACACCAGGCACGACAGTGGGCTCCGAGTCAACTGGTATGACCGCTGGCACTGGGTCAGACATTGGATCGTCTGGCTGGACAGCGGGCATCGGGTCACCAGGCATCAGGTCATTTGGCTCGACAGCGGGCACCGCGTCATCTGGCAAGGCAGTGGGCTCCGAGTCAACTGGTATGACCGCGGGCACTGGGTCAGACATTGGATCGTCTGACCGGACAGCGGGCATCGGGTCACCAGGCATCAAGTCATTTGGCTCGACAGCGAGCACCGCGTCATCTGGCAAGGCAGTGGGCTCCGAGTCAACTGGCATGACCGCAGGCACTGGGTCAGACATTGGATCGTCTGACTGGACAGCGGGCATCGGGTCACCAGGCATCAGGTCATTTGGCTCGACAGAGGGCACCGCGTCATCTGGCAAGGCAGTGGTCTCCGAGTCAACAGGCACGACAGTGGGCACCGGGTCATCAGGTACCGGATTGTCTGGCTCGACAGCGGGCATCGGGTCATCAGGTATGACAGCGGACACTAGGTCACCAGGCATCAGGTCATTTGGCTTGCCAGCGGGCACCGCGTCATCTGGCAAGGCAGTGGGCACCGAGTCACCAGGTACGACAGCGGGCTCTGAGTCAATTGGCACGACAGCGGGCACCGGATCAGGTACCGGATCATCTGGATCAACAACGGGCATCGAGTCGACTGGCCTAATAGGATCGTCAGGCTGGATCAGTTCATCATGCTGGGTAGAGGCTTCAGGCCGAGTAGAGGCATCAGGCCGAGTAGAGGCATCAGGCCGAGTAGAGGCTTCAGGCTGAAGAGAGGCATCAGGCCGAGTACAGGCATCAGGCCGAGTACAGGCTTCAGGCCGCGTAGAGGCTTCAGGCTGAGGAGAGGCTTCAGGCCGCGTAGAGGCTTCAGGCCGAGTACAGGCATCAGGCCGAGTACAGGCATCAGGCCGAGTACAGGCATCAGGCCGAGGGAGAGGCTTCAGGCCGAGGAGAGGCTTCAGGCTGCGTAGAGGCTTCAGGCCGAGTAGAGGCTTCAGGCCGAGTAGAGGCATCAGGCCGAGTAGAGGCATCAGGCTGCGTACAGGCATCAGTCTGAACCACGGAAGGCAGGCTCACCGGTTTGGATACTGGCAGGATGGTATTGGTTGGAAAGAATTTTCGCTTTTTTTTCTGGTTTTAACTACTGGAGCACTGCAAGTAAACGCAGGTCTGCAAACGAATGGAGCAGCTGGAGACAGAGAAGAACTGGAGGATGGAACAGGAGAGGGAGCAGTTGCTACAGAGGGCTTTTTTACAGGGTTAAAGGCAGGATAGGTGCAGCGAGTGGGAACAGGGTACTGACATGCGGTAGATAGCCAAGTATACTGGGCTGTAACTGGAGGAGCTGGTGGGAATACAGGAGTAGAGTTAGAAGCAGGACTGAGTCTTTGTAAGCTGACTGAGGCTGGGTGCAACAAATCTGTCCATGTCTGCAGTAGGGGTTGAACAAAGCTGAGCTTACACAAAGCCTGTCTGGTCAATGACTGCACTGCGTTTATACAATCTCTCAGTGTCTCTGGTGAACATGTGGAATAACGCTCCAGAAAGTAACCCACATCATCCTCTAATAACCACACCAGGGACTCTACCTGGTCTGCACTAAATGGTGGCAAAAATTCATCCCTGCATTCGGGGGAACCAGATGAAACCAACTCTGCACAAACCTCAATCAATGGCTGCACCTCAGAGAACACTGTGCCCTGATCTACTAGAACATGAGCGAGCCGTATACATTCTAGCAGTTCATCCCGGGTATACTCCTTCAGAGTTTGATAAGCATACTCCCTGTCATCAAACACTAGCAGATATAAATACTCAACCTCCTCAAGATCCATCCTTCCCATCAACAAGCCAAGATGGCTTCCCTGTGCAGCCACTTCTGGTCAGGATTGGCCTTGGTGTAATGTCAGGGCTCCCAGGTATGACCAGAGGTGTGTGACTGAAGCAGGGAAACGCAGACCTCAGATATGTTATAAACAATATAATTTATTAACACTAACAGTACAAACATAAACGCAGTGCAATACTAAAACATAATACAGTGCAACCAAACCAAACCAACCACCCACAGATAACAGTACATACAAGCAAGCGTCGTCAGGCAGGCCGGGTCAATATCAATAGGGCAGGTAGGTACAGGGGGAGCAAGCGGAGAATGGTCGGGGTCACAGGCCAGGTTCAGCAGGTAGCAAGCAGCATAGTACAGAGGGTCAGGCAGAGGGATGGTCCGGGTCACAAGCCAGGGATCAGAACAGGTAGCAAGCAGCGTAGTACAGAGGGTCAGACAGAGGGATGGTCAGGGTCACAAGCCAGGATCAGAGCAGGAGAAGTCAGCAAAGGAACAGAAACAGGATGCAGGACAGATACAGGGCCCAAGACAAACACAACACCAAGGCAGAGTCTGCAAGTCTGGCTGGCCATCCCTTAAATACACCAGTATCATCAGTTCCAGGTGTTAGCTGGCTGAAAGGTTGAGTCTCTGATTGCTGGGAGCACCCGCTGGCCAGCCCTGGTACTGCAGATCAAAAGGCAGGTGAGTCCCACCATTGCTGGCCAGTCCATTCCTAACACCACCAGTCTAGCCGGGTCCACTGCAGCTTCACACGTGTTGCCAGTGTCCGGGAAATCCGATATCAGGGTGGGGCATCAGCAGCAGATAGGGGTTCCTAATTCTTCAAGAGCCTGGAGTAGTTAAAAGATTAAAACTTTCCTTGCCTTATTTGCTCAGCAGGAAGAGTGGGCCACAGCAGACTGGGGACTATTTCTCCAACTTTGGGAGCGGCGGAGTAATCTGTAGTGCCGCTGTTTCGCTGTTTCTTATTAGTAAACTTATTTCCTTTACACTTTGTATCAATCCACTGGATTGCTCTGGCAGATTGATACAAATGTGTCTGCAAGTTTAGAAACAGTCCCCAGTCCGCCACGGCCCCCCCTTCCCGCTGAGCAAATAAGGCAAGGAAAGTTTTTAATCTTTTTAACTGCTCTAAGCTCTTGCAGAATTAGGAACCCCTATCTGCTGCTGCCCCCACCCTGATCTCAGATTCTGGGACATTGGCAGAGACATTGGCAGGGACATCATTCAAAAATTTGTGACTGTCCTGGGCAGTCCCTGACATTTGGCAACTATGACACCCTAAATACAGGTGTAATATTTAACATGTTGCAAAAGATTAATTTATCCTTTAAAATAATACCTGGGGGATCCTGCCACAATCATCTTTGTTCAGGCTCTTCCTTTTTAACGGTGACAACACTCCTTGTCACCCAACTGTACCCCTGTATTTATATTCTATATGTGACAACCTTGAAACTATTATCCAACTGTCACTATATCGCTCCTGATGCAGATAATTATTATCTTCTAAATGTTATATATATTGCTGCCACTATACTCTACTCCAAAAATCAAAAAATATTAGTATCACCCCCAGTCCAGTGAATACAAGCGGCGCATTGTATGCACCGCTTGTATTCAGTGGACTAGGGGTGATACTAATATTTTTTGTTCCCCTGTATTGTTATTCTGTGTAACGTACATGTGAATGATGTAACGTGCGTATGACATAAATGTACAGATTTGAGTAGGTAAGATGTGATCAGTAGCAATATGTAATCGTAACTGGAGGGACATTCCATTTTCATTAAGGATGTACTGTATATTCAGATCTTGTCATTGGCAAAATGAGGTACAATTAGCATCAATTAGGCTGAAAAGCCCTGCTTCAGGGATGTGACACCTTTTTTGTTAATAAGGTTGTCACCTTCTGGGAAAACCGGTTTGGAGGAAATGACTGCAGCCGGGTTGTCTGTCTGACATTGGAAGCTCTAAAAGGAATATACATACATCAAAGAAGTATGTTTTATCCTTCATAAAAGCTAAAATATTAGTTGCAGAGAGATGAACATACTCCCTTCTATTTGGGCATTCTATAGGCAACATCGGCACTAAAAATCATATTTGTGGTTTAGGTAGAAGGCCAGGAAAATGCAGGAAATGGTTAGGTGGCGCTGGATGGCGACAGTCGAATGGTGTTTTGGTACTGTCGCGATCGGACTGATGCGCTGGTGTCGGAAATCCAATCCCCGACTTGGCCCGATTGACCATAGGCAAGTCAACACCCAGAACATCCTGTGGGCAGGTACAGGAGCAGCCCCCCATGGTCAATTGGCCAAGGACTAATGTCCCACCTACGTCCATATCCCCATAAATGGAGTACACGGACACTGGGACATTTGCGATTTGTATGGAGCTGGTTAGATTGACCAACGGATTGCTGATTCTCTGACTTGCTCCAGTCGCAGGGTAAATCCTGGTAAAGTTTTATTCTGTTTTTTATCCCCTTTTATTTTATAGTGAATAGTCATTTGTGTGTCTTCTTGTATTTTTTGTATTTCTGTAACTTTATATATTTTGTACATATTTTATGCACTGCCCACTTTCGGGAAATTAAATCTTAACATTAATTAGTGACTTCTGTGTATTTAAGCACGTGCCCATATCTTCGGAGATATTGGATTGGAGAGATTAGATTGGATTAGATTAAATTGTATTGTATTTTAGTGCCTTTAAACGCTCGGTCAAGCTCATTGCCAATCTGTATGCAATTGCACTGTGTGTGGGCAGATTGCGTGCAGATTTTAAAAGGTAACAGATCGGCTAGACGGAGATCTGTGTGTGTGGGGTGTCCCAGCAGACCGTTCTGCGGATAAACTGTTGGGTGGTGGCAGGCTACCTTTTGTGGTGTGTCTGGTGCTGGGGGTGTGTGGACAGTGCAAGGGGTTCAAGATGTAAGTAGCTGGAGGGACCTTAGAAGGGTGTGTAATTACTAAGCTGGTCCTCAACTCTAATCAGTGCGTCAGATTGTATATAAGATTTGTATGTGCCAGTGTGTGGTCGACCAGCTGGATTGGAGTGGAGTCTCCATCTGGTGGTGGCCAAAGGTAGTGTGAACTGTGAAAGTGTGTCATGGCTGATCTTATATACGGTTTTATATATATTCAAAGTTAAGTCCCCTTTATTCCCTCTTACCCCCCTGTCACGGCGCGCCTTGGTTAGCTAGTCGTATGGGGAGATCCATGACATTCTGTCACATAGACTTCCATTGGAGACTACAAGTGGCTTTTTCAATACACATTGGGCATGCATGGTCCACTACTGTCACCTTACAGAAAAACCCACCTTGAGAAATGCCAT